TACTGCAAGTAAGATCACAGGAAATTATTTTCATGCATCTACAATTCTGATGCCTTGTCAAAATTTCACAATTCATTTTAATGCCATAAATCCAAGAAATTGATTAGGCAGGCATCCCCCCACAGCAGTCTGTATTGACATGGCACTTTATTGTCAGTGTATTTAGTCCCCATATGGCATGTGGTATTGATTAAATAAAAGCATTTACAAAAGTTTAATGTCAAATGTCATGAAGAAGTTTTACAATGAAAGACTTTCTGCCAAATCAGAATGAAGCCGGGGACACAGGGACACATTTCTGTTAGCTTCTTACAGCTCCTGTGCGGTGAGAGTGTACAGTATAAGAAGCAAAAATCTATCCTCTCTTGGAATTGAGTAAACTACTGCAAATAATTTGAAGTGATTCGCGCTGATACAGGTCAGGAGATCCACCTGCACAAGCAGCTGCTGGATCAGAAACCGCAGGCATGAATTAGATGTGCATTAAAATGCACATTGAAATGTACAAGTGCACAGCAGAGGGTGTTCCTGTCTGCGTTGCATTACTTTCAGCTGCATTTGATAAACATTCTCACACAGCTAGTTATCAATAAGTAAATACCTTTTTATGTGCAACTAAAAATTATAATTAATTATAAATATAATAGAGGAAAATTGGAGTGATTATGGATTCCTTAATAATACTAATAATAGGGTGTGATAATAATAATAATAATAATAATAATAATAATAATAGAAAAATAGTTAGACACACTAGCAAGGCACACTAACTATTCTTACGATAAAGGATGCAGGCCTGGCCAGGACGGCTTTCCTGTTATAGGTTCTGGGCTTGACAAGGTACGTGAGCCTCACCTGAGCCTTCACCAGCTGAGGAATCACACACCTCCTCCCCGAGCTAACATGCCCCACCTGGGCTGTGGATCCTTGCCTGCCTTCCCTCCGAACTGACAGCTTTAAGTTCTAGAATCCTGAGGGCAGGGAGTGATATGTCTTATTTTGCCACTTAAGGCAAAACAGGAAGTGCCACCCTGCTCTGCCACACCACCACCACCACCAGTGGGGCACTCACCACCACTGCGCCATCTACCAGTGGCGACTGCAGCTGTGCCACCCGCTGTGTCACCTCCGCCGCTTGTGGAGAAGCACTGCTGGCATTGGTCCCTGAAAGAGCTTGCGAGATCTCTCCCAAATCTCAAGAGACATTTTTGCTCTCCTAGACATCTTGCAAGACTTTGATGAGATTTCGCAAGATCTTCCAGGAAATCAGCACCTATCCTGGCACCACTTCTCGGCCAGGACGCAGGCCTGGTGTCAGGATGCTGTCAGCGGCTCCTGACTGGTTTCCCAGGAAAGTATAAAGACAAGGAAGAGTTTCTTACCATCCTTTTTTATTTTTTTTATTTCAGGCTTTACATAGAGAGGCTATAGAACCCAGCCTCTTGGATAATGGCTTTATCCCAAGTGAATCTCCACCTCCTGTCTCTCCCACTTTCTCATTCATCACTTCTGCATGTGCTGCTATGTGCTCTTTGCTCTCCTACCTTTAAGGCTTGCCGGGTTTGGGGAGATGGAGGGTCTGGAATGCTTTCTAATGACCACATTTTAGCCGGCTGCTGCTGCTGCTCCTCTCCTATTATTTCCCAGTTTTTCCCTTCAGCCTCTGAGCTGCCACCTCCCTCAAACCCCTGTTGTAAATCTATACTGTCTTCCTCTTCCTCCTCCCTGGAAGTGTCAGGATGAGGAGGCAGTCTCCACCATTCCTCTTCTGCCCAGTACCTGACAGGAAGGAATGACATTGTCCCATCCTTCTTAGATCTGCTCAGCAAAGCCATTTATTCTCCTATATATGCAGATGGTGGAGTTCTAATTTCACAGACATGGCTGGGTCTTGAGCTGTTACTGATTGAATCTGCTGATTACTGTAAAAAAGAAAAAAGAATCCTTAACTATCAAACATTCAAAATCCAAAATTATGGTATTCTCCAAGAAGGAAATGAAAATCTTCTGTGTCCTGGATAATCATGGATTTGATAAAATTTATTTGTATAAATGTCGTTTCAGCTGGGGAACCCAGGGAACACTGACCAAGGCCAAAGCAGAGCAGTCTGGGAGTGCAATAGTTTGTTTCCTTTGTATAAAGGGTAGAATATTTATCCTAATGGCAATTTGTATTTTTTTAAACAAAATTGCATCCCAGGTTCTTTTTGGTTTCCATGTTTAAAAATCTTTCCAGAAGGTCTTTCTTCTATTTATATAGAAACCAATTTGTTTTTCAGTGTTACTCTAAATTTGGAAGCTGGTCTAAATTCTTTGAGCAGCCTGGTTTAGACATATTCCATTCATCTTTGACTTATGCAATTGGGCTTTCCTCCCCACCCCCACAAAAAACCCTTGATGAATATATCTGTATTTCCAATCACTTGTTTGGTGCATTTATATTTTATGTGTTCTGGTCAGGAGTCAGTTAAGGCTGTTTTGTTTTCTGAGGCAAAGGACACTATGCTCCCGTTCCTGCTTTGATGTCCTTCCTTTCCCCTTGATTTCCTGTTGCCATTGATGTTCTGCTTTACTTTATTGAAAGAAATTCACTGGAAATATGTTTTTAAAAATGCCCCCGTCCCAATCTGAGGGTCACAGGCTAGTTCAGGAGCTGCATCATAGACCTGTGTGGCACACACTACTCTCAGAAGTTTTATGACATTCAAATAGTATATAGGTTTTGTTAAATAAATAAAAAACCTCCAGAAGACGGGAATGGCTGAAGGTTCAGGAAGAGTAACCAGTGCTGTCCTCAGTATCTGCTGCTTGAAGTGATTGCCTCACTTTCCCTAATGATAGGGCTGGCCCTAGTTCTGGTGTGCATATGAAATATTGTAGGTGTGATGAACTTAAAGAATAAATCAGCCCTGTGACTGTGTAAGCAGTTCTCAGACTTAAACTTCATTATTAATATCCATTCATACTGTGCTCTGCATGTTCCAAATGTGATCTCCTTCTTTTGTCCAGAAGCTTTTACTGTGACTTTTAGTTAATGTATACAGATGTGTTTATGGTAGATTTATTTACATGGCCCAGAAAATATATTTCATTGACTTCTGTGTTTTGTCTTTGTTCCAGGTCAGAAGGCTTTAGGAAAGTTCCTTATCACTATTATGAGCCTGGAAGAGATGAATGTGATGAGTACTTTCTGCATGAAAATGCACCCTATGGAGGTCACAGGTTTATCACAGAAAAAAAAGTGTTTGCTGACTGGGCTAAGAGGCGCACAATAACATTTACACATCCTAACTGGACATTGTCATGATGCTGGTTCTCACAGTCTTCCCTTAAGGAGCATAATGTTCCATTCAAGGCATGCCACAGTTTACAGTGATATTTTCAACTTACTTGACTTCCACAACTTTAGTGGCATGGAAGAAACAAGATGGTCCCACCATTTAACAAGTGGGGTGAAACTTATCCATCTATGGAAGACATGCAAGATGCTTATTCTATCTCTTAGGGTTGAGATAGAATAATGCACTTTGTTTTTAAACTGGACTTTATTTTTATTTTTTTTTAATCAAGATGGTAAGATTTTGCTTTTAATATGATAATGTTCTTAAGGAAGGAAATACACAATCCCATGCAGTCCCACTATCCTGGCTGTTTGTGGATAAATGATATAAATACTTGAATTTAGATTGTGAATTAGAGTTTTCATTACCAAGAGAACCTTCTTGTCTTAGGCGCAGATTGTTAAGGGCCAGCTGCGTATGTGTTTGTTTGTTTTAAAAAATATACGCGTGGCTACAAATTCACATTATATGAGAAAATTAGAGATGGGTTAAGAAAGTTTCCTGAACTCCAATTAGTTTCTACACATGGGGATTTTGTATGTTTGAAACCTAGGAGCACTTCATATGCTGTGAATGACAACCTGCTGCAACAGCAGTTCAACAATCCAGGCTTTCTGGACATTGCCTCAAATTTTCCTGGCATGCATCAACACAGCTACCTTCTGCTCTAAAAAATACTCCGTAGACGTGGACAGCACATTTCATTAGGGTGTGCACCCAGGAATTTATTGAATACATACTCATACTCCATCATAAAGGATATTAATTTTATACATCAAATGAACTAAAGTAACTAAAACATAACTAAACTCTTTTATTTTAGTTAACAACTAAAATATCATTTATTTAGCAGTAGTGATTATCAGGTGTATACAAAGATACAATCAGTTTTATTTTTCTTTATATTTAATTACACAACCAAAATTGACCAAAACAGATTAAGGGTGCTTCATCTTCCTGTCTTAGAGAACAAGATGCTTCTCACCATGAGTTATGGACTTAAATTCCTCAACCACATCATTCTAATTAACTGAAAAGCAGCCCTTCACTCCCACAGATATCTCTACACAAAAGGTGACAAGTGGAGCTTGGGTGGAGACAGAGCTATGAGACAGAAGAAGGCTAGAATGTCCAACTTCCAACCTTACTACCACTACAGGAGCCAATCATCTCATCACTGCTTCTAGGGGCAGACTCAGGCAGAAGCTGCAACTCCACCCCAGATCCATTCCAGCCTTTTTATTCTGCCTATGTCTCTCTGTCCGCTTCCCTTCTCTTCCCTTCCCTTCCCTTCCACCTTTGTCTCTCTCCCACCACTCTTCCCCACAGGTTCTGGCCACTGAGGGAGCTGTGTGGCCACTTGGTTCTCTTTACTCCACACCACAATTTGTTTTTTTTAAAAAAACAACAACAAGAAGAACAATGTTAGGGTGTGCCTAGGCACACCCAGCACACCCAATGTGCATGTCTGCAGTATGTACACTCCCTTTTTGGAGCAGAACTTATATAGCTGTTGTATGACATCTTAAGGAAGCTCCACAGACCTGCATGTGGAAATAGAGGCCCTGGAATCTCATACCTCTAAAATGGTTTTGGATAGCAAATCCTTTGTGGTCTTGAGCAGTTTAGCTCAACTCTCTGCCTCAAACTCTCCATGTTGAAAAATGGGGATAATACCTACCTCACAAGGCCATTGTGAAAATGAGTGTATGGACTTTTGGTGATAGTTCATTTGAATTGCTTCTTCCTAGCCGTGGGAGCTTCATACACATTCCTCTGTGTTTTGTACTTTGAGGAACATTGAATCTGAAGTGTGAATCCATGCTAGGCAATGATGGCTGCATTTGGATGTCATAAAAAAACAACAACAGGAATAGACCCAGCCTTTTTCAGGACTGATGCAGTATGTGCTCATCTTGCCTCTTCTGGTGTGGCCAAAGGAAGAGTTTAGAAGCAATCACTTCAGATTTCAATTAACCACAGTTTAGTGTTACATCCAAACCCTAAACTTTGGCTAATGTTAACTATGTTTTGTTGAAACAAGCCAGCTTCATAATCTATGGGTTGAAGTTGGCTTGTTTTCAACAAACCATACCTGTCAGTAGCCACAGTTTTACAGTTGTGTAAAGCACAACAAGCTTTGGTTAATCAAAAACAGAAGTGAAAACTTCCAAATTCCTTGTTGCTGGATTGCAGGAAGCAACAGAACCCAGCTAGGCTCTCATTGCTTTCAGTTTATCATGACATCCAACCTCTAAATATCTTCATTCCTATTGCAACCACTCAGTGTGCATTGACTTCTTCTGAAGGTTCTTGTTCTCAGAAAACTATCCCTTTAATGGATGGAGCTCAGGAATGTTTTCTATTTACCCATTTCTAATTGAAATGCTACCCTGATTTATCTGTTTGTGTGAGGATCATACAAAAGTTAGATAGTTAGCTCAGCAAATTAGTTATGAGCCTATGTAACAGAGACAAATATTTAAAGCAGAGAAGGTAGATGAGACAGATAATGACTGCTAATCCAGTAACTGCTAATCCATAGTTTAATGCAAGTGGGAGGAGGAGTTCAATAGCTTATGCTTGCATTTCTGCTTAACCGCAGCTTGTCATGCCATCTGAACCAACAAACTGTCGTTCATGTGAACTATGGTTTAATTAAAACAGACTAACTTCAAATGGTGTTTCAACAAGCCGTAGTTGACATTAACCATGGTTTAGGGTTTAGATGAAATACTAAAATTGAAGTTAATGGGGATAGGAAGCAAAGACTTCTAGACATCTCTTGCAGTTAGTTCAGAAGCCTGAGGCTCCAAGTACAATCACATCACACTAAACTATGGTTTAGCATGGCTTTTGAATACTGTCAGTTAATCAAAGTTTGGATAATGAGGCTTCTACTGTACAATGTCTCCTTATAAAGCTATTTCCATTTACATCAGAAGAGGGGTTTTTTCATATAAAAAATCTGAAATAATTCTTAAAATCCATACCATTTGAAAAGATTCTCTGATAATAACCTGGGTATCAGAACAACACTGAACTAGTACTGCTAAAACTTGAAAAGAGGTTTATTGACCCTTACTCTTGTAGAACTGTCAAAAAGCCTAAGCATTGAAACCACCAGGCATTTTGTATTACTTTGCTGAATCATGAACAAGTGATTGCAAAATCCTATTTTTTACATGTAAGTGTTTGTATAAGGATTGTTATTTCCTGTTGTATATTTGTATATAGAGGTCTATCTTTTATATGTCCACAGTATATATATATGTTCTCATTCCATCATCACCATTATTAAGTGCCACCTTCCTGCACTGGGGATTTTGTGCACATCATGCTGTTGTGTGATTTTACACCTGGGTAGTTGTCTTCTGCCTTCGCAGCATACTAAAGACGAGCTCTCATTTCTCCCCAGGTAGATTCTCACTCAGCTCTAATAAATTACCTCAAGCCCTTGCTTTATTTGTGGGCTTGTAACTACCTCACGGTAAACACAACGAGTTTCTCTTGGTTCAGCAGTCAAGGGTTAGAACAGAATGTGTGCACAAACCTTGTCAGGAAAACATCATTCACCAGCAGTGCTCTTGAGTACTCCACAACTTCCTTGCCGCTACTGATATTAGTCTCATTGCTTTTTATTCCTCCTGTGACTGTGCCCTTGCTTGCCAATTGTTAGAAATGTCTTCTACCTTTATTCATTGTACTTTGCTTTTTATTCTTTATACAGTTCAGCATATACAGGCAGAGCAGGATGAGGATGTTAGGAAACTGTGAGTAAATGCACCATATAAACATATATTCCATTTTATACTAGTTTGGGGATATGGCTTCCCCTTCAGAATTACAGTTTGTTGAGGGTGCTAAGAATACTCTGCTAACCATCCTATCCATGTCCACAGTTTGGGATAACAGGATGACTGTTATACCACTTTTAAGTCTAAGGTAGATACTCCTTGAAATTAGTTTAATGTATCAAGACAAGTGGCTTCTCAACATACTAGTTGGGCATTTTAGTAAAACAGAAGAGCAATCAATTAGTACCCCTTTTTTAAAAGTGCAGCTTTTTCTTGAACCATCCATCAATTGTGCTGTACAAAGTGCTTTGCTATCACTAGTCTCATAGCCTAGCATTTGGGTCAGATAGCAATCGTCATAGAATTCAGCAGGGCCCATGTGTGACCTGTGGATTGTGGGTCTTTACAGTTGGTCAGTGTCCTCAAGGGGTTCAGTAATATGCCCTAACCAAATTCTAAGGAACATCAAAGGTCATGTCCCCTCATGTCACCACCACATTTAATTGTCATAATTATTTTATACTGTATTTTTGTTCCTTTATCATGATTTGAATGTACATTTACCCAGTCAGTGAGAGGATACTTGAAGATAGACAGAGAACATGTTCTTATTTGCCTGTTTCTCTGACTTTAACCATTTCAAGATTGCCATTTGAGCTTAGATTTGGGAAGAGCATTAGGATGTCTTCACCATTACTTGTAATGCTGAGACAAACAATGACTTAACATGAACAAGTGTCAGGATACACAGAGAGAAAATCATGACTGCTTTATTCCTCTCCCAGGCCTGCTGTACTACCTGGAACTAATGGTTTGACATAGCATTACATATGAATCTAGTCTTGTGGTTGGTCTCACTGCAGCTAAGGTTTGTTCTTGACTTACCACTCATAGTTTACTTGGGGGAGACAAACCACAAGGCTGGGTACACATGTAACATTCAGCCAAACCATAGCTTAGCATCAGGTAGCATAGCATCAGTAGGACAAGGGGAGAAGGCTGCCACTTTTGCTATGTTCACACATGCATTTACTTGTTCATGCTTAGCTGTGGTTTGGCTTAATGTTATGTGCAAACCAGGCCAGAAATACTTGTTAGGTCTGATATTTCTACCCATGAATTTGTTCCTCCTATAGTTTCTAATTTACAAGAAGCCAAAGCACCTGTAATCTAAAGTGTCCATAATCATATTAACAGCGAGCAACATAATCCAAGCTCCATTGATTAAAGCAGAATTGATTTCCAAGTAAGCTTTTGGAATGAAGATGGGCTCAAATAAGCCTCAATGCCCTGAAGCATCAGCTCCAGCCTTCCCATGTTGAGTAAAAGTGCTCTGCTCTGATTAACATGGGATCTTGGCTCCTTTTAATCTAAACTCATATGCCATCTGCTTCATACACAAATGAGGCCAATATCTCCCACTTTTCTTCAGGATACATTTGCAGGAAATGGCAATGCTGCCCAGGGAAGGATAGCTGCGTGATTAACATGAAATGGAGTCAACCAGTCACCTTGAAAAACATGTATATGCAACCATACTGCAATTACCACTCCAGGTACTGTTTCCTATTTATTTAGCACTGTGCTGGGGAAAGTGAACCAACTCTAGGGCAAATTGGACAGAGATGAAAGGAGTTTTAAGGCCATGAAGACCTATCAAGGCTGAGACAGGAAGTAAACAGTCTAGCTATTTATTCATCAAGGCATTCTGTATGGCGTTCAGAAGTCACTTTAGCTTTGTATCCTTCAAGAAATGAAAGATCAGAAAAAGCCGGAGCTGTTGAAAATGCAACACTTCCAGCTCTGAAGCAAATAAGTGGGGGATTGGACCTTTATAAAAGTCGATATCTGTTGTGTGTAGCAATGTTGAAGGACACCTTTTACTTGATTTGTGGGGAGACAGACATGAAAATTTATCCAGTGCTATAAGCTTGAGAACACTCAACCAGAACCTTGTTTTTAGCATCAATAGCATTCTGTTTATGAGGTACTACCAGAAAGTATTTTTGATGGGGGGGGCTGGTTTTATAAAGCTCCTTTGATATTTATCTTCTTAGGGATATACACATTTATAATTCATGGAAGGGTTCCCCCTCCCCCCATCTTTAAAGGCCATTTCTCTTTGATGAGCACCATCTCCTCACATTACTTGCTTTCTAGCCTTCCTGCATATATTCAGGCCACAATCAAACACAAGTTGAAATAAATAGGCTTAAGTTTGCTGAGTTCTCTACTGGATTGTGGCCCAAGTAAATAAAGTATCAGTGGGATTCTGAACACACTTACTTAGGAGCAGCAGTGCAATCCTATGCAGTCCCTAGTAAGTGTGTTTAGGATTGCAACCCCATTCCCATTGAATTCAGCAGAATTTATTTTTGAGTAGACATGGAAATGATTGCAACTGCATATTGACTAGGGATGGGGAAGCTGTAGCCCCCCAGATGTTGTACTACAGCTCCCATCATCCTTTACCATTGGCTGTGCTGTCAAGGGCTGATAAGAATTGGGAATCCAACAACCATTGGAGCGCTACAGTTTCCCCTTCCCTGACATAGATACTACTGTAATAAACCATTTCTTCCCTGTATACTATTGCAGTACTTTTTGAATCACTTTTTCTTGAACAACCAGGGAAGCCTTCACATGATAATATTCTTATAAGCAGTGCTATTTTTCTAGAAACAGAGGTGCCGGAACTCACCATGAATGCCTCCCTTGTATATAACTGCAATGGCGCCACCTGAGAGCTGCCAAAACTGAGTTCTGGTGAGTTCCAGTTGGGGGGAAAGCCCTGATTGTAGGCCTTCTGCAGACTGAGTTGGAATGACAAGAATGCAGCAGGAGTCAAAATAATGCTAATTCTCAAGCCTTTCTGATCAGTCCATTTCAAAATGGACTATTTATATATATGTATATAAAGTTTCCTATTTGATTCCTGTAGTGTTCAGGCATTCAAAAAAATTTCTGGCCCAAGTTAGGGATGCAGGTACTGGTAAGGGCTGCCCCCCCCCAAAAAAAAACCCTTAAGGCGATCACAAAGTGCCCGCTAGCACCATCTCTTCTTCCTCACCCTACCCCAAACCTCAAAAACTTACCTTTAGGGCAAGAGGATGTTAAGGTGGTGCAGACAGTGGTGGGCACCCCAAGGGCACAGTTGAGTATCTTTGCCTGCCAAGAGTTGGTGTGGGACTTCAAGTTGCAGAATCCTCAGTGAGGAAATGATGCTATTTGCATCATTTCTACTAAGGAAAAGGAAACAACATGAATAGAATGATTTCCCTATGTCCCTTAGGATTCTGGGACTAGTACTCCATTCCTAGTGGGGGGGAATGCTTTGGCAGGTTTCTGGGAGTGCCTGTCACCTCTTGAAATGAGGGGATTTCTTCACACACCCCTTAGTGTCAAGGACTTGATAATTTGAGGATTTGCCCTGGAGTCACACAACCTAGGCAGTTCAACAGGCCTTTAGTTTTCCCATCTAGCAGAGGGTCTTGGAGGCAGCTCTGAATAAAGCTCTTTCTGTTAAACTATTCCTCATTCTTGGTGCCTTTTCTCGGATCCAGAACCATTACACCTCTACTGCTTTATCCTTCCCTTGTCCCAAAGGGAAGTTCTTCAGCTTCAGAGCAGAGTAAAATGGCTGATTTAGGGACCGAGGTAGCTCACAAGAGCAATACTTGGAATGCTCACAAACACTTAGAGTTGGGGTTGCAGTATGCTTGTGGCAAACAGGTCATAATGGTTCCAGCACAGGTCTTCATCAAAAGAAGGTGTGTCTGTGATATATTTACATAGTCATAAAACAAAGACATTCACATGAATAGGAGAAGAGTTGATCATTAACATGGGGGTGGGCTACATGGGGTCAGGCATAACCAAGGAGACAAGGTGGATTTTATTGGTTTGCTTTAGTGACATTGGCTGCAGTCCTGTGCACACATATGGGAGTAAGTGCCATTGAACTGAGAGGGCCTTACTTCTGAGTAGACATGTTTAGGACCTTTAGCCACACTACATGATAGGTATTTCCCACTCATTAGATTCCAGGGTTCATTGCTCCCCCCCGCCCCCCGCATATTTTTGCTTGCTAGCAATTATGTGTTTGTTTGTATATATTATATATGCAATCCAGTGTGTTTTTTTCTTTTAAAAAAAACAGTGCTAATGTGCATTGCTAACAGAAATTATTTACAAGTCTCAATTATGTTCCTACATGTCTTTGAAGTTTGCTTGTGCTGACAGATGTGAGCGTTACAGATTCCCCTCTAGAGTTTAGAGTCACTCTTACCGTCGGCATTTTAAAATGTACTTTTGCCATTTTGCCATTTCTCTGTTTTCTTACTGTAAGTTATTTTGTCTTTCATTTTCCATTTTGAATTCTTATGTATTTGGGGGAGGGAGTATTTCAGGGGGAAATGTGCCTGGGGATATTTTAAAGCTTAAACAATAAATGTATACAGGGTTTTTTCCCCTTCCATGTTCTCTCTCTCTCTTTCTTATTGTCAGTAACAGTATGCAGATGTTATTATTTGTTCCATCAGTGTTAATATACAAAACATCTTCCAAAAGAACTGGATTGCTGTACTTGATTGAACTTAAAGGTGCTTCTACGGGTTACCTTTATTGTATCATGTCCACCTGATGGTGGGGGACCTATTGATCTCCGGATGTTGCTGGAGTTCATCTTGCATAATCCCACAGCTTCCATCCATTTGAGCAGAGCTAACATAAGTTCAAACATTCACTCATGTATCAAGTTTATAACTGATTACATGAAACCTAGTAATACTATAGGAATAATAGAAGCATCACTGGCATCAGTGCCGGATTTAGAGTGGTGCAGGTGGTTCTCCTGCACAGGGCACCAAGCCAAGGGAGCGCATAATAATAATAATATCAGTAACAATAACAAAACCCACATTTATCTGAGAAATTCCATAAAAGGCAACTGAATCATTGTGGAAATAATAAATATTTAGGTGGTGAGCACCAAATCTTGTCCTTGTTCAGGGCACCATATTACCAAAGTCTGCCCCTAGTGGCATGAATATGTGAGTATTTCAGACTTATTGTACAAAATAATATCAGGCAACAGTTCTTTACAAAACCACAGACAGATACAACATAACTGTCTACTACTTGCTCCAGTTCAATACAAACCACTCTTGGGTTATCAAAGCTCTGAGGATCCTTCAGTCTATATCCTGCCAAGGGATTTGTTAAGAATATATGTTGCTTTTACAAAGTTTTTCTTTCATTTCTCTTCAGGGTCATTAGGGTCTGAGTGGGAATGAATACTAATAGCACAATATAGTCTTCTGGGTAAAATACATTCTCCTTGTTTTCATGCTGATCAGATAGTTCAATACGGTTTTCTCGGTCTACATTCCTTCTGTATATAGCACCAGAATAAATGTCAAGCCATGTCTTGCCTTATGGATCCACCTGCTATTTATGTAACAAAATTTAATTATGGAAATGATTTCATGCTGTTGGGGGGGGGAGGCACCCCTTTACAAACATGTGCAGAGGTTCCTAGGCATGCATAATAGAAAGCATCTTTTTAAAGCCCTTTTATAAAATGTTGGTTTTTGAACATTTTTGTGCTATTCAGGAGTCTAGCTACATTTTCTCTTCTCATCCTGCAAACTGTTTAATGAAGAATATACACACTTCCAAACGACAGCATTCATCTGCTTTATTGAAGGTATGTTTCTGGCTGACCACAGAAGTCTTCAGGCTTAACATGAGTTTTGGGTTACATTTTGCAGTGTTAGGCCTTATAGCAAGTCAGACCGTTGCTCCATCTAGCACCATATTGTCTACACTGACTAGCAATAACCCTCCAGGATTTCGGACCAAGACTCTCCCAGCCCTACCTGGAGATGGTAGGGATTGGACCTGGGACCTTTTACATCCAAAGCATGTTGCTCAACCACTTTGCCTTTGAGCTTCATTGTAAGGAGAACCTTACAACCACCTACCTCTTTGAGAAAAACATTTTTTGCTGTCTATATTGCAGTCCCAAAGATAGATGCTACAGCAACTGGACCAGGGAAGAACAAAAGAAACCAACCTGCTGTGTGCCCCTGTGCCTTCAATGGCAGCTTGATCTGCCAAAACACTGCTCTTTGTATACTTGCATTATCCAGTCCAGTGGTTCCCAGTTAGCTAAGTACCGTTTTACAAAAGCCATGTCATGGACCCCTACTTTTGGAAAGTTTTATATCTCTGTTGTAGTTTTTGTTGTATGAATGGTGCCACAGAGCCCCTGGTGGGTTCCACGAACCCCCGTGAGTCACCAGTTGGGAACCACTGATGTAATCCACAACCGAAACCTTACATATAACAAAGCTACTGATATTTTTAGAAGAGGGTGGGTGATGGTGCCTCTGGCAATAAGTATTAGAAGGCTGGCCTTGACACAGAGAAGGCCATGCTAGTCCATGTGAGACTGTGCTTGGATGGTCCTAATGCAGGCATAGGGAACCTGTGACCCTCTAGTTCTTAGACTGCAATTCCCATCATCCCACACTCACTCCTGGTCTAATTTATAAGGCCAGGCTGTGTAACTATAATATGAAGTGCCCACTAGAAACATGCTGTACTTGGTTGACTGCTTTCTTTCCTTCAGTGTGTTCTTATGTTGTTGTTTTTTACTTTGTATTTGCAAAAGAATTTTTTTATTATTTTGTGGGTGAGTGGGATTTAGAAATAATGACTTCCCCAGATTCACCATTAATATCCTTGCCTGAGTGGAGATTTGAACCCAAGTCTGTTTAGTACAAGGGACGCGGGTGGCGCTGTGGGTTAAACCACAGAGCCTAGGACTTGCCGATCAGAAGGTCGTGGTTCGAATCCCCATGACGGGGTGAGCTCCCATTGCTCGGTCTCTGCTCCTGCCAACCTAGCAGTTCGAAAGCACGAAGTGCAAATAGATAAATAGGTACCGTTCCGGTGGGAAGGTAAACGGCATTTCCATGCGCTGCTCTGGTTCGCCAGAAGCTGCTTAGTTATGCTGGCCACATGACCTGGAAGCTGTACGCCGGCTCCCTCAGCCAATAAAGAGAGATGAGCGCCGCAACACCAGAATCGGCCATGACTGGACCTAATGGTCAGGGGTCCCTTTACCTTTTACCTGTTTAGTACAAGTCCGCAATGACTAATTGCTATTGGCATGCTGTGTGTGTGTGTGTGTGTGTGTGTGTGTGTATCCGTATCCCTGGTAGAAGAAAATAAATGATGGCATGCTGCTGGGATACTAACTCTTGCAAGAAATATGGTTGTATGTACATTGGAAGATTAAAAGTGCAGCCATTAGAATCAATTTAGTTAATGCACTGGTACCAAGTAAGATTTTTCTTCAGTGACTCCCACTGCTAAGCCCATTCTGCCTACCCCATGATGGCTACATCCAGCAACAATTGAGGGTGCACACCATGGCATACGCGTATACGTACTGGAAAATGTTGTAATGAAATTATAAGCTGCTGTGATAGTTTAGGGTCTAAAGAGCTTCTTTCCTTTGCTTTCAAAAGCACCCTTTAAAAATATTATCATTCTGCAGCAGCATTTTCTCAACTCTTTATCTTGTAAATGCTTTTGGACACACAGACCATGGGATTAATTATATATCGTGAGCAACAATTCATGAATATTTAACACTCTCATTTATTCTTAATGAAGAATTATGCATTTTGACAGTGTTATTTAATGTGTTTTAAGGAAATACTGCTCATTACCTTTCCATTTTTTATTTTAGATTTGAGGAATGGAATCAGAATAATAAGGGGGATAGATGGAGCAGTTATTTTAAATGTCATTGTTCCTCTGTTTGTTTTTCAATATTTCTTTTATTCAAATATCAGCTCATTTTTGGGGGGGGGCAGAGTTATGACGTTTCTGTCTGTTTGAGTCATAACTCAGCGCTATTATATTAAATCATGAATCTTCCAGGCACAGTTAGGCAAATCAGTTTAAATAACAATACAGTTTTGGAGTCTAACTTGGGATTCTGTCCGCTAAAAACAACAACTAAGAACAACAGCCGGCTCTCTCGTTGATGCCTATATCAAAGAGAGAAATGTCATGGTGGGAGAGAGAAAACGATAGACTAAATTCTAGAACCATGATCATGAACGGCCCAAAGAGATTTCCATGCCAGGGGCAAAGCAAAGGGCAAGATGGCACCCCATCATCCCCATTCCACATTCAGAATCTGCCTAGGCTGGCAGTTAAATTTTATTTAATCTCTTCCAGGGCAAAAGCACCACACCTGAAGACAGCAACCTAGCTTCAGGTGCAAAGCAAGTTGTGTGGTGCACAGTAGTTTGACTTCCAATAGAAATGAGGAGGGAAGCTCATGAGGAATAGGTGGAAAGGCTATCTGGTATCTGCTGTCTGAAGTGGCTGGCTCACTCTGCCTAATGTTAGGGCCAGTCCTAACAGTGATTACCTAAGTGTCATGGTGAGAGAACACCAGCCAGGATGGTGTACACAAACCACAGATCAAAAGATCCCCACATTGGAACCATCAGTCAGATTGAAAGTAATATAATTATCTAAATGGAGGTTTGAACTTCGACTCACTTTTAATAGGGTTTCTTTCTAAAGAGATTCTGGCTGAATTAAATTACCTGAGTTCTAAACAATCCTCAGACTGTATCTATGCCTGTATCTGTCTATGTACAGAAAGAGAAAGAGAGACCTGTAGTGCAGGGAGAATGAGGCAGCTGGCATCCAAAACCAGGAACAGCATTTGAGAGCTTCACATTCAACAGGCAGACTCTGCATTGTAAAGCCTCATGACCTGACCTAAAGAATATCACCAGCCACTGCTACCCAGTTGGCATACAGCCTTTTCCTGCTACACTTGGACACTGCAAAATTAGCCACCAGGCAGCCAGTCTGGTTCCAATTTGTGAAGGTAAACTACTTCCTACATGCAGCTCTACAATTTCAGGGAAAGCATGTTCGGATCTCAATTATGTTTCCCAGGCTATTTGCTGCTGAAATCGCTGCACTCTGTGCTTCCATTTTGATAAGGAAGGAAAGCAATAATAAAAAAATCCAATCTTTTACCACTTTTGCCATAGGGGAAATCTTGAATTTGTGGAAGGGGGTGACTGATTATATGCATCACGAAACAAAATGCATAATTAAACAGCAGCAACTCTCTAAACATAATCTACTCTTCTTCTGAGCAGCTGAAAGCACTGATGTTCCACCATCACTAAGTATTAAAACTTCCTTCTTGCAATCAGCCTGGAAGCTTGCCAGATAAAAAGGTATTTGCTGAACAGACATAAAAGAAACAGCTTAATCTCCCCAGTGCCACACCTCTGTATGAGCCCAGAAAAGGATCTTATAAAAGAATTGCCTGCATATGTATGCAGAGAACAGTCAACGGTATACTTAGAGGAAAGCATCCCATCTGTCCTACTTGGTGGAAATGTCTTCTCTGTAAGCTTGCAGGAAAACATCAAAGAAAGATTAAACTTGTCTTTTCTCCCCATCACTTTGATGGTTTGAAGTTTGCCTGTGCATCTTTTCTGCATGCCCTTCTTTAAAAAAAAAATAAGGCAAAGAGAATAGAGATGATAAAAGATACTTTTCTGAAAAAGCGAAACAGGGAGCTCCACTGATTTTTTGCTTATAATAAAAGCAAAAAAGCACTATAGTCTCCAAAGAAATAATTTAAAAAACATTTAAAGAGGGCCAGCTGAATTGCATCCTAGAGGAACACACTGGTTCAGTCTCACATCCTCTGTCTATAATTTTTGGGAAATGCTGGGAGCTCAGGAGAGATGCTGCAGGAAACAGGCAAGTGCCCCAGTCTTCGAAAAGAAGGATTCAGGTAACCATAGGATGGACAATCTGACAGTTTCTGGCTAGTGTGCCAAAATGGAACAGGATTCTGCAGTAAGTAGTACATTCCTGCTTTCCACATGGGTTAATATGTATTTTGACAAAGATGCTAAAACTCTGGAAGATGCTATAATGCAAGCAATTTGTAAGCAACTTGATAACAACAAAGTGACTTCCAGAAGCCAGAATGGATTTGTCAAGAATAAATTCTGCCAGACTAACCTTATCTCTCTTTTCCACTAAGCTAGTAGCTTAGTGGATTGTAGGAATGTTATGGGTGTAATTTATCTTGATTTCATCAAAGCATTTGACAGAGTTCCATGTAATATTTTTGTTAACAAACTCTTTGAATGTGGCTTAGACTAGAATACAATCAAGCAGATTCAAAGTTGGTTATAAAACCCCATCCAAAGAATATGCATCAGTGGCTCTGGCTTGGCAATAGTGAAAGTGACCTTGAGATGGCATTTGGTTACAAACATAAGCCAACAGTGTGATACAGCAGCAAAAAACAAAACAAAAAACTCAACCCTAATGCAATTTTAGACTTCATTAATATAACTATAGTTTTCAAGTAACAAGGAATAATAATTCCACTTTAGTCCTCACTAGTCAGACACCATCTTGAATTCTGTGTTCAGCTCTGGTCAGTGCACATCAAGAAAGCAGACAAATTGGCTTGTTGTTGTTGTTAAGTCATTTAGTCGTGTCCGACTCCTCGTGACCCCATGGACTAGAGCACGCCAGGCACTCCTGTCCTCCACTGCCTCCCGCAGTTTGGTCAAACTCATGCTGGTAGCTTCGAGAACACTGTCCAACCATCTCGTCCTCTGTTGTCCCCTTCTCCTTGTGCCCTCCATCTTTCCCAACATCAGGGTCTTTTCCAGGGAGTCTTCTCTTCTCATGAGGTGGCCAAAGTATTGGAGTCTCAGCTTCAGGATCTGTCCTTCCGGTGAGCACTCAAGGCTGATTTCCTTAAGAATGGATAGGTTTGATCTTCTTGCAGTCCATAGGATTCTCAAGAGTCTCCTTCAGCACCATAATTCAAACGCATCAATTCTTCGGCGATCAGCCTTCTTTATGATCCAGCTCTCACTTCCACACATCACTACTGGGAAAACTTAGAGGAGAGCAATGAAGTGGATATGTAAAGCCTTAAAAAGAGAAGACTTAATGTGGACACGATAACACTCCTCAAATACCAGAAAGCCTTATTCCCTACTACCTCAAAGCCTACCCTCAAAGGGAAGGACTAGATCTGATGAATTTGCTCTTAATAGTCACAGCTGTTTGAGAATGGAAAGCTAGGGTTTCCCTTATGGGAGGTATTTAATCAAGGGCTGGACATCTTTCTATTGGAGGTCTGAATTTCCAGGGTCAAGCAGGATTAGACTACCCCAAGCAGGAGACCCCCTCCACCTCTGTGCTGTGAAAGAATATCCCTTGAGCTCTGTTGCTTTATTTATAGTGTTTTGCTCTGTGGTGTTAAATATAAATGTATAATTTATTATTAACTTGTTTTCATTTGTATACCACCCTTCATCTGTAGATTTCAGGGCAGTTCACAACAAAATAAATGGTATGTATCACTCAGCATATGGCAAGAGTTTTCAGTGCCCTTGGCACTAACCTTCCTACATTGCAGGGGCTGGACTAGATGATCCTCAGGGTCCCTTCCAACTCTGCAATTTGATGTTTCTATAATTCTAACAGTTACGACTCCACATCTTTGCCAATCAGAGTCTGCCTGAAGATCTTACTTTATTGAACTGGAGACACTGAGTACTTTTGGGGGGGGTAGTTTTCTTTATAAAGATTTGGAAGCTCATGTACTTGTAGCCATGAAAGTCTTCATCTCTAGGGTATTCTTCCCTTAGCTACTAAATTCCATCCTAATTGATGGTTTTTCTTCCCCTCGAGAGGTGTTAATGAAGTTACTAAAATCTCTTAATAAGAAATTGTTTGAGTTAATAAAGGACATAACTGTCCAAGCATTGGCAGATTTTTTAAAAAAGTGTTATCCTTAAAAATCTTCTCCCAATGATTTTGATAGATGATTTGTAACTCTGGGGTGGGTGGGTGGGTGTGCAAAGTTTCTCTGGGCGGCATATTATTGCACAGCTCTCAGGTGAAGCGGGCAGCAGCAGAACATGTAACGTTGCAGCTAATTGTAAATTATTTAGATTTGTCGCAGGTTTAATAGGGGCCGAGAATTTTGTAGCTTCTATGGGCTTTTGTTAAAAGAGCTTTTAATTGGGCCACAGCCAAGGGAACTGCAAGTTTACAAGTACATTTTATGTTGCTTAGCGTTGATCCAGATGGCCTGTGTGATATGCCTTCTGCATTAAACATAGGATCTTTCCCCCACAGGAGTCTTAACGCCATGATTAACACACAGGCAAGCTCCTTACACCTCCCAGCTTGAGAACTACATAAATAAGTGAGATCCAGCAGCAGTGGATCCATAATCTGGTGTCTCAGTTCTGTTACTTCATCAGGAGTAGATCCATGGTCCAGCTACAATGTCTGCTGCTTCAGTATGTGGTTAGGTAAAGGTACCCCTGCCCGTACGGGCCAGTCGTGACCGACTCTAGGGTTGCGCGCTCACCTCGCTCAAGAGGCCGGGAGCTGGCGCCGTCCGAAGACACTTGTGGGTCACGTGGCCAGTGTGACGAAGCTGCTCTGGCGAGCCAGCACCAGCACAGCACACGGAAATGCCGTTTACCTTCCTGCAATAAAGCGGTACCTATTTATCTACTTGCACTTAGGGGTGCTTTCGAACTGCTAGGTGGGCAGGAGCTGGGACCAAACGACAGGAGCTCACCCCGCCACGGGGATTCGAACTGCTGACCTTATGATCAGCAGGTCCTAGGCACTGAGGTTTTACCCACAGCGACACCCGCTTCCCGTGGTTAGGTAAAGACCTTCAAATATGCTGTAAGCATTAGTCCTGCTACAAGAGAACTAAGCATACAGTTCCAAGTGGAGGACTGCCAGGCATAAGCAGCTTGGCTAGTTACATGTTTTCACCTGTGCTAGCAAGCACTGCCTACATTTCTTTTAAAGCAACAGTACACCATATTAGCAACTCTATATATTACGATAATGGGCTGCACATGGCAGTGCCTTTGAAGCCCAGTCAAAACTGGTTCATAGAAAGGCACCCAGATGGTTAACAGGCTTATTATAATGAATGTGTTTCACCTGTGCTGAACATTCTGTAGAGGCTCCCAGTTTGTTTTCAGGTGCAAACTGAAGTGCTGATTTAAACCTAGAAATTCCTTACATGGCTTGGGGCAAGGAAACCTGTCTACCTCAGAACCTCTCTTCTGGCTGCTCCTAGCATCTGAAGTAAGGTAGGTGGCAAAAAAATATATTCATCCAGTCCTAAGGGAAATGAACAGCAGCAGCAGCTACCACCCTGTGAGCAATTACCACCCAACCCCCAATGGTGTCCTTTTTTCCTCCAACTCTTACCACAGAGGCTTCTGCAGGACCTTATTGTCCCAAGGGGAGCAAAGAAGAAGCAGTTTTGCCTTCTTCTAAACAAACAGTTATTGCAATTAAAACAAAAATGGTGCTTATGACTGTGAAAGTCTTATGAAAGCCACTTCATGAGGTCTGCTGGAAAAGCAGTATATAAATAAACAAATACATTAAAATAAAAGGGTAGAGGCCTTCTCAGCAATAGCCTGTGTCATATATTCCTAAACAAGGTCAACCTGGCTGTTGGCATTCAGATACCAGGTCAATATGGTGCAGCAGTTGAGGTAATTGTATTCTGGTTGTACCACTCAGTTTATTGTTTGTTTGTTTGTTTGTTTTGTTTTGTTTTATTGTTGCTGTTTGGATTGTGCAATTTTCTGCTTCCGCAGACAGTTTTAATGGCTGCAAGTTGTATCTAAAATAGTGCTTTATAACATGTCCCGTCAACACAAGGAAAGTGTTGTGGGAGTGGAGATACTTGCCCTGAGCAGACACAATAGCTAGATACCTCACATTGTTTCATACATTGATTGTAAGCGGTGTTGGATAGTGTGACAGAAAAGCTGAATAAACAGTTAACAAGAGAGCTGCCTGACTAGACATCTTTCTTGTGTATGTTCAGGAAGATATCTAAATCAGGGGAGCAGCAGGAGAAGACTCCTGGTGGAGATTCTCCATTGATAGTCCAGTAGTTATTCAGAATAATGGACTTTGACATTGGTCAATTTTACATATTAGAAGTATTTTTAGATCTGAATCTTAGTGATAGCCTAGGGGACCTGTGAATTTCCAATATTGTTGGACTCCAACTCCAAGCGTATATAACATGGCCAATAGTCAAAATATGGAAGGCCACAGGTTCGTCCTGTTTCTGCTTTTTCATTACATATGCATCCTTACTTTTATTTGAGGCGTATATGATGGCATGTATGGGATTCACGGGTCATCTCCTATCTATTACTGGCAACAGCCATAACTGCTTAGCTTCAGGAAGGCTGTTGTGTCATATGTTTGCGCAAAATTATTATTATGAGGGGACCTTAGGCAAAATACTCTCTGGTGTGGGCTTCTTTAGGCTTACCTGGCAGTGGTGGCAATTGCAACACTCTGGTGGCAGAAAAGAGCCACCATTTAAATCTGAATGAGCTTAGATCAAGTGTAACTGTGCTATGCTAAATGCAAGCAGGTGAGCCCAGACTGGCTCCCAGTAGGGGTCGATCGGGCCATTGGGGACTCCTCCTCCTTATCTTACATGGACATAAGCAAGGAGAGCAGAAAGACAAATTAAGATGCTCCTCTGCAATACACCCACTCATTGATGTCAGACACATAGGACCACCTGCTGCAGGATAGAAACATGCTGGGATTTTACTGCAAAAATAGGATGCTACAGTATTCAGGTCAGATTAAAGCTGGCTTGGGAAAAAGTATAACAAATGGTAGTGTTTCATAGGAAACTACAGGATAGATCTAAATAATCACTGATGTGTACATTGATTAAAAAATCAGTGATGGGGGCACACTGGAACCAGAATAATGTATATATGCCCTATGTCTGGCTTGCTATGTGGTTGCCCAGAGGTGTGGAAACTCAAGCAAAAAGGAGATCTGGAATGTAATAAACTTTGGCCCCAACTGAGAGCTGGAATAATTCTCCTTGGTTTTATACTTCCCTGTGGGAAGGTGAAGCTCTTGTTCTCAGAACTGGCTACAGAAATAGAGGGAACAGCATCAGGAGCATACTTTGAGTACTCAATTAACATCTGTGCCCCTGCATCCGACAATTAGTCATTGAACTGAAGCCAAGACAAAAGACTACCTTAGTTAGCGTCCATTTTACAAAGTGAAATCTAATTACTCAAATGTATGGAAGTCAATAAAGAATACAACACGTCAGAAAATGTGCACAAGGAGGTCATATTTCATTACACATTATCCCAATTGTATTCTGTCCCATTGACATGTCAGTGGAAATGCTAATGAAGAACTATAACAAACTTGATAACTGTCATTTTATTTCAAAGGTTCTTTTTGCAAAAGCATGCGGTCTCCCTATACCACTCCTTTTCAGATGTCTTCATTCAGGGAACGGCCCTAAAACCTTACCCCAGGGGTGGCACAGGAAACCTAGTCAATGTGGAAAGAGTGAGTGCTTTCCAAATCCTCTAGGTCCAAACACAAACCCCTCAACATCATGGATACATACTGTATCTCAGGTGCCTTCAAGCTTGGAGCCAGATCTGGGGTTAATCTGGGAAAACCAGTGTAATTTAGAGAATATTAGGGAATTAATTCATTCCTAACTTTAGTGTTCCTCTGTTTGGTAATTTTGAACTGCTGTTTGGGAATGACATGTTTTCAAGGAAACTAACTTAGGGCACAGCCTGCAAACCCTGGATGAAGCCCAAAGAATGCATGCCATGGGATCATTACATTCAAAATTATTTCTGTAAGCAATAATCATGATAGTTTCCAGGTATTATAGTGACTGCAGTGACCAGCATTAGTTGTTTCTTTAAAGGCTTCCAAGTGGTTCAAGCCAATTATGTTCAAAATTATTTCTGTCATTCAAACAAATTAAATGCTTCTGGGTATTTATTATACTGATTGCAGGAACTGGCATAATTTGTTGCTTTGAGGAGCACATGAAATGTTTTGAGCCTTTGGCTTGAGGCATTCTTGATTTCTATTTCTTACTTTTATGGTAAATTTGTGCCCAAATGTAGAAAACACTTTTTTGACTTTTGTAGGCTGAGGACAACCTCAGTAGAATTAACTCAGTTGCAGATTCAAACAGGCATTTTATAAGTACATAACAAATAATTTTTGTTATAATTTTTTAGTGATTAATTATATGGAAATGATTCACCTAGTCATGGAAAATGTTAACAGTTGTCAGGTTTGTGTAAACAAGTAAATATGTACCTTGCTTAAAATACATCTCAGGAAAATATGCCAATTACATCATACATATATTTTCATTTTATGGTACAAACAAGCTCATGTTATTGCATGACTACCAATATTTTCATTAACAAAAGACAAAGGTGATTAGGATTGTTGTCCTATGCACACTTACCTGTGTGTAAGTCCTATTGAACCCAATATGTCTAGATATATTGCAAAATAGGAGACTATACTCAGAGCTTTCTAAACTGATATTATGAGTAGACGGGGGTATTAGATTGTTTAAATCGGGTAACTTGATCAAAATGCTGGCCAGCTTGCCAAATACATTTTTATAGATTTCAAAATGTAAATAAGGGTAGCTTGATCAAAATGCTGGCCTGTCTTTCAAAATACATCGTTATGGGTTTTTAAAATGTAAGCATATGTTTTGATTAGGTGCCCATTCGTATTGATTTTTATAAGGGAAAACTACTACCTACATTCTAATACCGACCTCCAAAAATGACACTTAATATCTGGTAGAAATTATTCTAGTATAAGAGTTTGGAGGGTGCAGAATATAAATATTTAAAAGAAGGCATATAACAGTGAAAATATACTCTCAAAAGGAGGATACATAGCACAGTGTTATTCTGTAGGGTCAAGAGGATAAAAGATTGCATATATCCATCCTGCACGGGGAAGTTTGTACTGTTTCTGAAAGTAAGGAACATGACAAGCAAAACAAGCAAACAAACCCAACAACTTTGAAACTCCCTGAAGTATACTAAACTATCAAAACAATAAGGAGGAATAGGTGGACGTTGTAAAATGACACAGAATGAAAATTTGATTTCATTTGGGTTATTGCCTATTGCATGGCATGGGCTGGGTTGAGATGCACTCAAGGGAAATCCCAATGAGATGTAGCGTTAAGACCACTCCAATCAGCTGCTAAATATCATCAGTGCGACTCAGAGATCCAGCTGACAGAGCATTTATTCTGCCAGTTAAATACTTGATGCTTGAAGAAAGGAGTTGGAAAATTACATTTTGGGTGTCGGTTATATCTCAAGGGAAGGAGCTGTGCTATGAAATGAAAACTCTGTGTTATTAAATAGGAAATTGGCCCTTTGCACTCTGAAATTTTAGGATGTTTATCAAGAGAATCCAGAAGAAGGCTGTGCATGAGGAAGACACACTGAGAGCGACGGGTACTTTGCACACTCCATTGGTCCACGGAGACGGAGACAAAATTTGTTAAGCCTAGAGAATGATGGAAAGCTCATTTTGTTGGGCTGTATGTCTCCTAAGCACATCCATTTTTCAAAGTGAAAAATGTTGCCTAACCATAACAGGCTTTTAAATTAGTCTGGAGACAAACCTCCTCCTCCTTTTTTTTTTACACATGGAACAGTTCTTCTGAA